TTATGTTAGTTTTATATTCATTAAAGTACCTAAGATACTCCCGTTTTTTTATTTCTTTAGTAGCATCATCTGTTGCTCGTCGGTAGCTCCTCAGATGCCTACGGACCTTCGATCTCTGAGCCTCCAACTCTGCGTTCCACCAAGGAGTATTGTTATGTCTGTACTGTTTAATGGTAGTAGACTCGTTAAAAGCAGAAATAATTGAGTTTGTAAGATGCTCAGCTAAGAGTTCTGCATCTACATTCTCAGAGAAGGTGAAATGAGTGGGTCTAGCCCAATTTAAGCTGAAGTATTCGTGAAACTGCTCCCAGTTGGTACTCTTGTAATAACCAATACCTCTATTCAAAGTATTGTCATTATGCTTGATAGATATTTTAATAAAACGATGATCACTCCCACCGTTCTCATCAATAGTATAACACTCATGTATAAGATGCTGAGCACTATCACTGGCTAAAACAAGATCGACCCAGCTTTCACCCCTTGTACAACTATATGTAGCAAGGGGGCTGGTGTTACAGGACACCATTTGCTTAGCAAAGATAAAGTCGCAGACCTTATGTCCTCTATCATCGTTGATCGGGCTGTGCCATATGGAGGACTTTGAATTAAAGTCCCCACAAATGACCCAGTGCTTACTACCTATTTTGACATCAATATCTTGCAAGTCATCCAGGAGTTCCTCAATTTCCTGAAACGGGGAGCAATACACCAATGAAAGATAAATATCCTTATCTTGAAGAGAGAGAAGTACTGTTGTAACCAGTGCCGTACTTAAGTCTGTGCAGAAATTAGCTTTTATGTTGGGATTCCTAATAAGGATACCCGTTTTAATAGTTGTACAGTCGACCCCCGTATAAGATCATTGATTATTCCGTTTTATATGAATTCCATGTTGTACGAGTCACTTAGATTTTACAAATACGTGTACCGGGCTGTGAACGGCTCACGTATTTGTAAAATTTAAGTGACTTGTACAACATGGAATTCATATAAAACGGAATAATCAATGATCTTATACGGGGGTCGACTGTANATTAAGTAAGGCTCCTGTATGCACACCAGATCCGCTGCCTGCTCGTCCACTATCTTTATAATCATGGTGGAGGCAGCCTTAGACCTCTGGGCATTGAAACTTAGCATAACTAAAGTATGACCTGAGCCAGATCTCTGTAAGTGGGAGTCTCCTTGCAAAGTGCCATGTTGGTAATTGTGGAACTGAGTGCGATTTCCGTTGAAATTAAATGCCATAATCAGTTTTTTGTACCGTTTGTGTTTTAATCCTCTGTAGGGTAGTGCATCGGCCACTAAACGCATTGTGATTTGTCAGTGTCTTCCTGCTAGGTGGTTGGTTCCTGTTAAATTTGTCACAGTTTATGCAGAAAGGTGGGTCATCCTTATGTGTACAGTCGACGTGTTTATGATTTTTTGTACAGCGACTACAAGCACATCGTCTGTGCAATCCTTCGCTTAATGCCCAAAACCGCAACAGCGGTAACATCTAAGAACCGGGATGTAATCATCCACGGTGATGTTAGCCCAGGAGAGGGCCACGTGACGGTGCTTGATGATAAGTGCTCTTAGTTCCGGCGTAACAGCCAAAACTATATGACGGCAGTTTGGTTTTGCCTTACCCCTATTGATGATAGTACTGATGCGGCAGGATTTTTGAAATTCCTCCCATTTGATCCTGTTAAACATGTCGTTTTGTCTGTACAGAGTATCAACAAGGATGCTTTCCTCAACAGAATTTGGCACGTGAAGCAGTATTAGCCTGGGCCTTCTTCCCTCAAAAGCAAAACACTTAATCTTATGTTTTATTTCAGGAATTTCCTGTATAGCTTCTTGTAACCTTGCACTTGCTTTGGTGTCCTGTACCCTAATACACAATCCATCTCCCTTCACTTTGCGAAAACCTTTCACACTAATGCCCAGTTCTTGAGGGCTAATCTCCCTCTTAATAGTATTAGCTATATCGTCTATATTGTAGTTCACTTCCGTATTAGGGTCCTCGTCAGCCTTAGGATAAACCATTACTGCACAACTGCTGCCGGTGCCTTCGTTGGCCAACTTATTCGAGAGGGATTTAGCTATGACTTTCGTGGTCTTACTGGCAGCTGGTGCTGCAGCTGCTATTTCCGTGTAAGACTTTGATCTATTCACAAGTGGGGGTGGGGGTGATAAAGCTTCCCCTGCTCCTGAAGACTATGTTAGCGTGGCCTGTACTGTGGCCGACCCACCCACTGAATGCAATGCATTCCTACGCATTTCACACAGTATACCATATAATTGGTGGAACGCCGCAAAAATTAATCCTACCCTCTCTTTTAACTCCTTGCGTTCCTCAGATTTTAATCCAGACCTATAGGAGTCCGGCAATAGATCCATAACGCACCNGTTGAAATTAAATGCCATAATCAGTTTTTTGTACCGTTTGTGTTTTAATCCTCTGTAGGGTAGTGCATCGGCCACTAAACGCATTGTGATTTGTCGGTGTCTTCCTGCTAGGTGGTTGGTTCCTGTTAAATTTGTCACAGTTTATGCAGAAGGGTAATCCTTATGTGTACAGTCGACGTGTTTATGATTTTTTGTACAGTGACTACAATGCACATCGTCTGTGCAATCCTTTGCTTGATGCCCAAAACCGCAACAGCGGTAACATCTAAGAACCGGGATGTAATCATCCACGGTGATGTTAGCCCAGGAGAGGGCCACGTGACGGTGCTTGATGATAAGTGCTCTTAGTTCCGGCGTAACAGCCAAAACTATATGACGGCAGTTTGGTTTTGCCTTACCCCTATTGATGATAGTACTGATGCGGCAGGATTTTTGAAATTCCTCCCATTTGATCCTGTTAAACATGTCGTTTTGTCTGTACAGAGTATCAACAAGGATGCTTTCCTCAACAGAATTTGGCACGTGAAGCAGTATTAGCCTGGGCCTTCTTCCCTCAAAAGCAAAACACTTAATCTTATGTTTTATTTCAGGAATTTCCTGTATAGCTTCTTGTAACCTTGCACTTGCTTTGGTGTCCTGAACCCTAATACACAATCCATCTCCCTTCACTTTGCGAAAACCTTTCACACTAATGCCCAGTTCTTGAGGGCTAATCTCCCTCTTAATAGTATTAGCTATATCGTCTATATTGTAGTTCACTTCCGTATTAGGGTCCTCGTCAGCCTTAGGATAAACCATTACTGCACAACTGCTGCCGGTGCCTTCGTTGGCCAACTTATTCGAGAGGGATTTAGCTATGACTTTCGTGGTCTTACTGGCAGCTGGTGCTGCAGCTGCTATTTCCGCGTAAGACTTTGGTCTATTCACAAGTGGGGGTGGGGGTGATAAAGCTTCCCCTGCTCCTGAAGACTATGTTAGCGTGGCCTGTACTGTGGCCGACCCACCCACTGAATGCAATGCATTCCTACGCATTTCACACAGTATACCATATAATTGGTGGAACGCCGCAAAAATTAATCCTACCCTCTCTTTTAACTCCTTGCGTTCCTCAGATTTTAATCCAGACCTATAGGAGTCCGGCAATAGATCCATAATGCACCTCATCTGAATACTGGCCTTGCCAAGAATTCTCTGCTCTTCTGGAAGAGCATCAGGGTCAAGTGACAGACATTTCGAGATGTCGTCCTCTGTAGCAATTTCCAATGTAATATTCGTAGGGGTTTCCGTGACTCTTATAAAATCCGTGTTACTCATTGTTAAACGTTGTGCAAAGAATAAATAATGATATTAAAAATCAATTAAAACTAATGCTAAATAAATTACATAAAATAACTTAAATTAATAAAATAAAAATTAATATCGATTAAATAACCAACCAAAAGCTGTGACGTAATAGGCACACGACCAACGACGGTTAAAAACCGTTAAAAAAAAGTCGTTGTACACAAAAGGTCAATGACCGTTACCTAGTAACCAGCAAGACCGGTGAAGTGGTGAACTAAGCTAAAAACTTAAATCGCTGTAAAATTAAAACTATTACAGATACGACCCTGAAAATTTGACAGAAAGTTACTGAAAGGACCCTGCCCACTACAAAGCAAACAAAATATACCGATGCCAAATCAAAAGCCCGATGTGGGCCGATTATTCCCGATAGCAAAATTTAGAAAAAACGGAATAACTCCGTAAATAATTGAGCCAGGACCCCCAAAATTTAACAGTGTACTCACAGTCTGTCCACCGACGAGACTCCGTCGATGAATCCGGAAAATCGGTCCCACTCTTCCGGAAAAACGGTCTTGAAAAACGGGAATTTCGATCGTCGATAACTTTTCAGAAAATAATCCGATCTCCAAAAAAGAGACACCAATGGGTTCCTCTCAGCTAGTGGAATCCAAAAATATATCACAACACTATGAAAAAAGTAAATCCATCGTAAAACTGCGCGCTATGCAGGAGCACAAAAACCAGTGACTATCCCAGTCAACGACGCGACGCCCTCGGTTGGTTGCTATAGACACTTAATACAGATCAGAAGGCTGTCTTTCGACTTAGCCCGTTAGAAAAGGAAAGAAGGAGGGGGGAGTATTGGGTAGGATTAAAGACTAGAAAAGTGTGAAGTGTGAAAGAAGAGTGGAAGGTAGGGGATCTCATGATTATCTTGCATCGGACCGTTTATTAGAAAAACAATTTACAAGGAGTACAGTGATTGGTATGAATATGCCACTGCATGGTGCACAATTACATAATGGTTACATAAGATGGTTACAATTGGTAACAGCATAATAAAAGAGAATAATGGTAGTTGATGAACAAAATAAAAATAAAAATAAAAATTACAGTAGTGCGTTGGTAACATATAAAATAAAATAAGGTACATAATAATTGATGGAACATTGAGAGATTAACAGTATGGAAAATAATTAAATAACTAAGGTAACAGTTAAACTAAGTAGGATCTATACATTTGAATATTATACAATGGTTAGGGTTTTTTTACATTAATTACATGGCGAACTTGGAGTCGGAGTGAAGAATTTCAGTCAGTTGTCAATTTCCGGTTTGTTGGGATGCGGAGAAAAGTTATTCTTAAATGCATCGCAGAGGTTTATAAATTTAATAAGCTGGTTATAGCTGTCTTTGTGGGCACACAGGTAGGTGAGGTCCGGTGGCCACGGTTGGCCGTGGGAGGTGCAGTAGAGTTTGAGTTCTTGCCTACTGGTGTCGTAGAATGGGCAATCCAGGAGAATGTGATAGATGTCTCCAGTAGCACTGTTGTCACATGTACACTTATCGTTCCTCCTTTTCCCTATCCTATGTAGATACGATGGGATGTTGCCGTGCCCGGTTAGGCATTGCGACAGATAGAAGGATGGGGTAATGTAGGAGTAATTCTGACGCTTTCGGATAGACGGAAGGAATCCGTGCGTCATACGACCTGTAGTGGAAGAATTCCAGTCCATTTCCCATATGTCTATACTCTTCTCATGGATGTGGTTGTTGATATAGCTGGGTGGAATTAGTTCGAAAGATGGATTCGTTATGATTTCAGCTGCTCTTTTGGCCAGGCAGTCCGCTCTGTCGTAACCTTGTATGTTTGAGTGGCCCGGTATCCAACTAAAGGTGATGTTTCTATACCGGTTTAAGTTGATGGCAAGGTGGTACAGCTTTATACCCGTGGCAGTAAGTTTCTTCGCTCCTCTAATGACACTAAGCACATATTTGCTATCTGTGAAGAAACCTATGCTGCCGGGAAAACGACGAAGATTTCTGGTGATGTGGGAGAGGGCCTTGTACATTGCCCACAGCTCCGCTTGATTATTCGTGCAGTGGGCGCTGAGTTTGTGGTACTGTTCGTGAATAGTCCTGTTTGTAGACATGTCGTAGATGACAAAAGCGGATCCTGTTCCTAATTCATTACTAGCACCATCCGTGTAGGCGTGCCAGTTGGCATTGTCTTCTGTCGGGTTGTTGATTTCACAAATTAGGTTGGATGAAGATGTTGCTGGATGGCTTTTACTTAGGTAGTCCTTGTAGTAGTGATCAATGCCGTGCCGACTTATAGTGTTAACTATTGTGCTGTTAGGTATTTGATTGTTATTAATTAGTTCCTGGATTTTGTCGTTAGTGAGGTCATGTATCCTACCATTCATGAGGTGCCATTTCCACATCCTCGTTTTAATCTTGATGTTTATAGGAACAAGGTTAGCAATAGTAAGAAGAGCGTCTGTGGGCGCTGTTCTGTAGGCTTTACAGATGCGAATGGCGAAGCCTCTCTGGATGGAGGCCAGTTTCCTGTGGTTGTGAACAATTGAGGCTCTGTTGCCCCATAGCTCAGTGGCATAGAGCAGCGCTGGCTCGATAGCACTGGTGTAAATGAGTTTGCAATGTTTAGAGGAGAGACCCCAACTATTCCTGGCAACATGGTTTATCATGTTTGCTTTTTGTTTGATCCTGTGGCAGATGACTTCAATGTGGTGATTCCAACTAAGCGTCAGATCGAGATAAACACCCAGGTATTTAATAGTTGGTTTTATTTTTATTTTATTGTTATTAATATAAATGCAGAGTGGCCTTTGGAGTTGTTTCCGGCGCGATCTCCTCGTGCAGACTAGGCCTTCGCATTTGCTATAGTTTATGGGGAGCTTGTTGTTAATACTCCACTTATTTATCTTTTCCAGAATGTCATTAGCAGACTAACACGCTAACAAGCAGGGCATGTTTGTCGAGGGCCCACGCGTTCCTTACAAACTGTAGAACATTGTCTATTGCTATAGTAGTAGAAGAACCGGGCCTGAACTTGTATTGGCTGCTATTAAAAGCTTTGGTACTTGCCAGATGCCAATTTATCTGGCCAATTATTAGGCCATCAAGTACCTTGCTTAAAGATGGGAGTAAACTGATAGGTCTGTAATCGCTTTCAGATTGCGGCGTGTTGACTTTTGGAATGAACATAATATTGGCAATTTTCCAGCCTTGCGGGAAATAGCTGTTATTGAGGCAAGCGTTGAAAAGTATTACGAACGCTATCGGGATTTCCTGGTAGGCATTTTTTATGGTCTCGGCAGTAAGGTTGTCTATACCTGGTGCTTTTTTGTTGGCTAGTGTGCATATGGCCTTAGAGACCTCTTGGAAGGAGAACCATTTGTCCGTGTAGCTCTGGTAAGACTTCTCGTTGGCTTTCCTAATGTCCTGGTGACTTTCCAAGTCATCGTAGGTGTTGTCGTTCGGAAAGTGGAAATTTAAAAGATTTGTGATATTTTTCTCAATGTCACTTGGTCAGTAGTGGTGGTTTTGCATAGAATATGAGGAATTTTAGAATTAGTCTTGTTTTTAAAAATGATTTTGTATTGTTTTCTCCAAGGATCTTTGTTATCTTTACTACAGAATTCCCTCCATGCCTGTGTTCTGGCGTTGTTTATATTCTTCTTGTAGAGGTTGAGATTATTGTAGTATTCCTTTCGCAGTTCTTCCTTTGTATCTGGATTACTCGTTTTAACCTAGTGCCTTGTAAGCCTACGGATTTTGCGCTTTTCTCTTTCCAAGTCACTGTTCCACCAATGTGTACGTTGCTTGTCAACTTTATTGGTGGTTGATGATAGATTTATATCCGAATTTAAGGAAGTGGTCAGGTGGTTGACGTAGTGGTCGATTTCTCTGGCCGTGTTCAGGGGACAGAACGTGTATGACCTCCAGTAGGCGGCAAAAGTGGTTTTAAATAGCTCCCAGTTGGTTTTTCTGTTATAGATGTTGTTTTTTGTGCTAATCGTTTGGCTGGTCCTTTCGATCTTTGTTAGGATGTACCTATGATCGCTAGCCAAGGTGGTAGTTAAGGTTTCACACATCTCAATTAAGCTGCCTAACCTCGTGGGCGCCAGGCAAACATCTGTCCATCCTCTAGCCCTGCTTGTCTCGAACGTGGGGATGTCCGAGGTGTTTAGCGAGATGCCATCGATTTTGTCTAGTATGTCTTGGATCAGTCTTCCGCGGTTGTCTTCCTCCTCGTTGTACCACAGGGCCAACTTTGCGTTGATGTCGCCCACTATTATGTATTTTGTGTCACCAAGCTTGTTCAGGACATTTTGTAGCTCTCCGATGCAATCGTCATCGTCGTCCTGTGGTGAGAAGTAGGCATTGATTATATGATCGATGGGCTCGTTATGGACAGCAGCTGTAGTAATACGATAGGAGCTAAGTTCTGGAATTAGGGCTATGTTTAAGTTGTTATTTCTTACTATAATGCCGCATTTTGGGGTTGCTATAGACATTGTTGTAAAGGGTGAGAGGGCTGTCTGTTTTTTGCCACAGACTTAGCCCTATGGAAAAGGAAGAGGGAGAAAAAGCATGAGATGTGAAGTATGAAAAACAGAAAGATAGGAAAGTTGTGAAAGAAGGCATGGGACCAGAGAGCGCCTGCATCGGGACTTTATTAACAAAACATAATACAATACAATAATACAATACACAATGAGAAACAAATAAACACAAAAGGTTACAAAAAATGTTATGTACAGAATGCAGACCATCTGGTCGCAGAATCAGAATAGGAATAATACAATCAATTGCTACAATACACAGAAATCTTGCATATGATTAATACAGCACCGGATGTAGCAATCCCACTCGCCTTGAGTGGGAAGGAGTAATGAAGGCGACAATCATAAAGTTTCAGTCAGATGGTCAATGTAGTCAGCAAGGAATGAAGAATCTCATCATGAGTATAAGAGATGATGATCACCATGCTCTTTATTTAAGAGCTGTCGGGTGCATCTGTCCAAATATGGGAGTTATTCAAAATCCCTGTTCTTTGTAGAAATTTTTTCACATCATTCCATAATTCCTTATCTTTAAAAAGATGCGATGGATTTGGGGGCCATCCAATATTGTTCAATAGACAATTGTGTATTAATTCAAGCCTGAATTGATCATAAATTTTGCAATGAAAAAGATAGTGGATAGCGTCGCCAACCTCATCGCATGTGCACTTGTTAGAGCTCTTTTTGCCAATTCTATGAAGAAAAGCAGGAAAATTCCTGTGTCCAGTTATTAATTGTGTAGTATCTTTATCAGGAGAGTAATGTTTATTTCTTTGTCTGTCTTGGATTTTAGGTATAAATTTGAAGCAATTCCTGCCTGTGTCTGAATTCTGCCATTCTTCTGCCAGATTTTATTGGCATAGTGCATGAGATGTTTTTTAACCATCGTTAAGGGAATTTCATCAAACTGGTGATAATCAGATTTCTTAGCCCCTAGCTTAGCCATCCTATCAGCTATTTCATTCCCGTCAATTCCTGTATGTGAGGGGAGCCAGCCTATATAAATTGTTCTTTTGCTGCCTAAGTTTTGAGCCGATGATATAGTACATCCGGCTAGTCGAGTAAGATTATTACAGTTATTCAAAAGATGTAATATCATTCTGCTATCTGTGAGTATTTTAATTGCTCCTTTAAAGTTGTCAATATTGTTAGTAATATATCGTATAGCCGTATACATAGCCCAGAGTTCAGCATCAGAGTTTGTGCAATAAGGGGCCAGATGTTGATAGTTTTGGTAAACAGTTCTATTATTTGTCTTCCTGATGGTGAAACCTGATCCTGTTCCTTCCCTTCCCTTGGATCCATCTGTATAAATGGCATAATTTGTTTTAATTTCAATCGATTCTTGTGGATCCCAAAGAATGGTATAGTTATTTCCTTCAGCTGGATGTGTTTGTAATTTTTGTTTATTAAGTTTTCTATTTATCTCTTTATTCTGTTGTTCTATGTTTGTGAAAATTTTCCTTTTAATACTGTCAAGAATCACTTTATTATCATTGTTGGAAGTCAAATACCAGTGCCATGTGCTTATTTTAGCTTGTATATGGAGAGGGCATGAATTTGCCATAACTTGGAGGGCATTAGAAGGTGATGTGCTATAAGCCTTTACTATTTTTATTGTAAATTTTCTCTGTAATGATAAAATTTTGTTTTTCATATGGATGTTGTTCAAAGCTTCGCTCCACACAGGGGCTGCGTACAAGATAGCCGGCTCAAATGCCATTTTATATAGGAATCTACAATTCCTATAATTCAATCCCCAGTTCTTTGCTGTTATCCATTTCAACTGATTTGCCTTCCTCTCCATGTTTTTACTCATTTCTCTTATATGACAATGCCAATTAAGTCTATCGTCAAAAATAATCCCTAGGTATTTTATTTGCTGCTCTATTTTTATTTTGTGATTATTAATATAGATACATGGTGGCCGCTGGATTCTGTTCCTCTTGTTTTTCCTTGTACAAAGCATTGCTATACATTTATCATTGTTTATTGGCAGCTTATTTCTTTTACTCCAGTTATTTATATCTTTAAGATATTTATTTGTGATGTTGGTAAGCTTATCTATGTTTTGGTGTGAAATCAAAAGGAGCAAGTCATCGGCAAATGCCTGTAAATGAACATTTTCAGTGTCTTGTATTGAGTTTAGTAAGTCATCAAATACCAGGTTCCACAACCCAGGGCCACTTCGTGAGCCCTGGGGGCACCCTCTATTACTTTCTCTTTCAATTTTTATGTTATTACTCATATACATTATTTCCCTTCCATGGAGGTAGCTCTTTATCAAGTTATAGAAATTTTTTGGACATTTCACCTTTTTTAGTTGATCCAATACACTTGGCCACCACAAGTGGTCAAAAGCCTTACAAAAATCAATGCTTACCAAGATGGTATGGTAGTTCTTTTCCCAAGCTTTGTATATTATTTCTTTTATTTTTAACATGGCATCAATTGTGGAGCGCCCTGGTTTGAATCCATATTGTTTTTCATTTTGCTGGTTGGTTTTATATAAATGCCAGTTTATTCTATTAATAATTAATCCATCCAGAAGTTTTCCCAATGTGGGAAGCAAGCTGATTGGTTGATAATTGTTTGGCGCACTCGGATTTTCAGTTTTGGGTATGAGTTTTATGTTCGCTACTTTCCATTTTGTAGGAAAGTATTCAGACGTAAGGCAGGTGTTTAATAAATGTAGATAAGCAGTAGGTATTTCTTTGAAGCTTTCCTTTAACATTTCAGCAGTGATTCCATCAATACCAGGCGATTTTTTATTCGCCATTGATTTAATAGCTTGTTGGATTTCTCTAGTCGTAAAGAGTTTATCATCTGTTGTATTTATATCAACTGCAATGTCTTCCCTTAGCTGCTTTTGCTCCTCCGTGTCACCATCATGTAGGTCCTCAGGAAAATGAAACTTTAATATATTTTTAATATTTTCTTTGATATCAAAATTGTCATTCATACCATTGGTGTTTGTTGTCATGATATCAGGGATTGTTGCTCTCTTTTCTTTTTTAATAACTATATAATAGGGAATTTCCCAGGGCCCTTTGCTGTTTGTTTCCGAGCAAAATTGCCTCCATGAGTCTCTCCTAGTTTTATTAATTAATTTTTTATAA